CGGAGGAGGCCGGTTTGGTTTGCTTGGAGTAGAGGTGAATTGCTCCCTCTCATAGCTAGCACAAAATATTTACCATAATAGCTAAACGAATAAAGACAGGAAACTCCGTACCTGTGTGAATTAAGCGAACAAGTGTGCTACTGTTACACGATTGAACTATTGAAATGTCTTACCTGTCCTAAAAGAAAAAAAAGCCGTCTCTGCGTCCGTTTTGAACCGATGTTTATCCTTGTTTTCGCGTGGGCCAGTTGCAGTCTCTTTTTTCTCTAACGTTACCCACTCCGAAGTCCGAATTATTTGGGGTTTTACAAGTGGTGAATGTCCAGTTGTCACTGGTGATTGTCGTTTGAACCTTTCTGGATCCGCCATAAGTTTAATTATTTAATGCTGTGAGAAAAGGCTAAAAATGTCCACCTCCAACATCCTCACGCAATATAGCCGACTAGCCGGGACGCCTTCTTTATGTGTACAGATGTGACGTAATGACGCAAAGACATGCTCGAATTTCCCGCGGAAATCCACCAGTACCACTGGAATTAAAATCATTATTACAAGCTAACCGTTTTGAATCGGGCAAAAGCAAGCAGATATTTTTGAACACTGGCTGGTTATGTTTTTTTTAATTATTATTATTTTGGATAATTTTTAACCCAAAAAAGTTACGGACAGCAGCTTTAAGCAATGAAGTTTCACACCTTCGAGTTTTCAGAGTTTTTAATGAAATATTAATAACAATGAATCGATCAATCAGGAATAAAAGCCCTTATTGTTTAAAATCCTACATTATTAATGAATTACACACTTGATAAGAACATAAAGGAAGATTTTCCACATGAAGTCGAGTGTGTTCCCTATGATACACACACACACACACACACACATAAGGTCGAGTGCGTTCCCTACGACACAAACAGAGACATCGACACACACTCTCTCACACACACACACACACACACACACACACACACACACACACACACACACACACACTCGAGGTCGAGTGCGTTCCCTATGACACAAACACAGAGACATCGACACACACACACACACACACACATACGGAGAGATGCAGTGACCGGACTCTGCTGTAACCCCACTTTCTCCTTCCAAAGCTTCCACAAATTTCTTCACTTCTCCAGTTTATTCACAGCAATAAAATGCCCGCTGACAGATAATCCAGTTGAAAATGTGTTTCATAAAGAAAAATAATATTATAATATATCACAAAATACCTAATGCGATTAATTAAAACCAGAGCATCCTGACTCCAGTGAAAACTGGGGTGGTATTTTTGATTCATCTGACCTGATTCATCTCTTCCCCAATTAAACCCTCTTTAATTTTTGCACATGCACATTTTGCACATGTGGTGGCCTGTGTTTCTCCTGTTTTTACTGGGCCTCGCAAAAGAAGGGCCCTCAGTTTGCACTTTGTCTGGTGGTTTTTAAAAAGGGCCACCAAAATTGCAAAGGTTATGTCTAACAGAAGCTGTTGTTAAAGGTGATGGCCATCGACGTCAGTGTGAAGGAGACGCTTGGAGACATTGTGCTGGTGAAGCTCGAGAAGCAGAACTTTGTGTTCAATGATCAGTGGTACTGTAGATGCATCAGTGTGGCGTCACCCTCTGGAGATCGCTTTGACTTCCCCTGTTATCGCTGGATCGCGAGTGAAAATGCAGTGGTTCTTCGGCATGGCACGGGTGAGTCCTATCCCGACTCTGATCACTATCCAGTCTTGAATGAAGCATGTCACAAATACTGTTATTTATGTGTGTTCCTTTAGCTCGATTGCCTCAGGATGATAAAACCAGTTTGCTAAAAGAGCACAGACGCACGGAACTGGAATCCAGACAACAACTGTTCAGGTTTGAGGCCACACTTACAATCCTGGACAATATTCAATCATTTGGTGTAAATGTTGTTTTTATTTTCCTCCAGATGATTGAGTTTATCGTTGGTTTGTTTTACAGTTTACATTTACAGTTTAAAGTGCTTAACACACTTAACTTATACTAGAGGGAAAACTTTGTGTATCACCAAATATAATTCTCAGTCCAATATCTGAAAGAATAATGTTTCCTTTTCTTGAAGGTGGAAGGAGTGGCAGCCTGGTTTCCCCATGAGCATAGATGGCAATGAACTTCCTCTGGACGTTCGGTTTGAAGCTGAAAAAGATGGGGACTTCAAAGAAAGCTTAGTTAAAGCGTAGGTTACCCAGTTTGCATTCTTCGCTTTGCCTGTATCCCTAACAAATATACTATTTTTGATTTTCTATGACACTGTTAGAATGCTTGATCAGGAAATATCCCAAAATAAATTGAGAAACACGTGTAGCTGAAACTGAAAATCTGATTATGAGCTGTGTTTTTCTTGATGCGATCTCTTTCAGGATTGAGAATCTTGGTCTTAACAAACTTAAGAGCTTGTTCCAGTCCTCTTGGACAGACTTTCAAGAAATATTTACGATAATCAAGAACCCTGTGTCAGGTTTGAATCGAATCTATGTTAAATTTTGTTTTTTTCTAATACAAAAATGCAAAAATGACCTGTCCAAATTATTATTGTGGGGAAAATATAAAATAAACTGGCAAAGACACACATTGTTTGCATACCCCTAAACTCACTGGCATTATTCCCTTTGACAGAATATGTGATGAAGAACTGGGAAAAGGACTTCATGTTTGGCTATCAGTTCTTAAACGGCTGCAATCCTGTGATGATCAGTAAGTGCATGAATCTTCCTGATGAGTTTGCAGTCACACAGGAGATGGTGAAAGGCTCCCTGGATAGAGGTCTCACTCTACAGGAGGAGTTAAAGGTCAGAAAATAATGCTTGGTCATGAGTGGTGTAGATCATAAGGTTGCAGTGGTCAATTCTGGATGTGAAAGAGTGACACTGGAGAAATTCCCATTATTATTCAATGGCTCCAACACTAAATGCCTCTCTATTACAGGCAGGGAACATCTACATCGCAGACTATGCGATACTGGAGGGAGTGCGAGCCAATGCCACAGACCCGAATACCCAGCAGTATTTGGCTGCTCCCTTCTGCCTGCTGTACAAGAACAGCCAGAATGAAATCATGCCGATCGCTATTCAGGTGTCTGTAGAAATAGAGTAAAATATTACTTCAAAATAAAAAAGTTAGTGCTTTTTACCAAATATTCTGTTGGTTTACTTGATCTGAAACAGCTCAGTCGTCAGACCCCTGTTGGGGGGACGAACACTGTCTTTCTCCCGAGCGATAATCACCACGACTGGATGCTAGCCAAGATGTGGGTGAAATCCTCCGACTTTAATGTACACCAGCTGGTCACACACCTTCTCAGGACACATCTGACATCTGAGGTTTTTGCCATTGCCATGTACAGACAGCTCGCTGCAGTCCATCCGGTATACAAGGTAGCCATCCTTTATGCTTTCACTGCTATGGGATTTAACACTGCTATGAGATTTGATGTAGTTGATCTGATTCAGAGAATGCCAAAGAAAGAAGTTTTGTGGATATTGAAGGGCTGAAGGTTACTGTCCTTCTAGGATCCAGTCATGGTTTTTGTGCCATTTCTCATTGCTGTTGCTGTAAATGCACTTGCCTGGGTGTTTTTACCACATACGGCTAAGGGAGATTTTGAAACGTGTGGCTTATTGCTTTATTGAAGCCCAGTGTCTCTCAGTCAGTCATTGCAGCCTTTGTTCTCCTTACAGTTGCTGATTCCTCATGTCCGTTTCACCATTGCCATCAACACTGCGGCTCGTGAAAAACTCATCTGTAAAGATGGGATCGTTGACAAGGTCTCTTTAACCCTGAATACATTTCCTTGGAACCAGTGGATTCCGGGATACCCTCTGCATCACGTAAGTCATTCGGCCTTAAGTTATAATCGGGACATACCTTTAACGTTATCTGCAGGAAGGATGGTGTCCTATGTCTTGCAGCCACTTTGCGTCCACATTTTTTGCAAATTGGATATCTATCCTCGAGGATAACCACTCGTTTTTTCTACAAAGTATTTCCATACTGGCCATAATTCGCTTCATAAGAATTCGAGGGCGCTTTCAGCTTCAGCTTCAGCTGGGTCTGCGTCACCTTTCTTGCGCGTTTGTTCTCCCGCCCTTCAACCAATGCAGTAGCTAGTTTCCGGAGTGTGATTTTTTTTGTATTATTGTATTATTATTTTTTACTCAGTAACGGATATGATTTCAAATGTAGCGAAGTACAAAACTTCAAACAAAACGTACTTAAGTAAAAGTAAAAGTACAGATTTTAAAAACTACTTAAAAAAGTAGAAGTACACAAAAAAAACTACTCAATTACGTAACACGAGTAAATGTAATTTGTTACTTTCCACCTCTGTAAACTATAACAGTTTTTTCTTATCACTTTCACACACACCTGCTATGATAAGCTTAGGCATAGCGAGGGGATGCGCTAAAAAATAACAATCCATCGCTTTGTAACTGTAACAACAAAGTCCAATACATCTCAAACAAACTTCAAACGATTAAACAAACTGTCAGCATCCGTCATTTTGACAGAAGCTGTAACCGCAAGGGGCGTAACTAGATCAAAGGTAACAATCCATCGTTTTGTAACTTTAACATTCAAGGCCAATACATCTCAAACTAACTTCAAACGATTAAACAAACTGTCATCATTCATCATTTTGACAGAAAGTTTAAAAGGAAGGGGCGGAACTAGGTCAAAGGTAACCGGAAGGGGAGGAACCGGAAGGGGCGGGACAGGAAGGGGAGGAGCCGGAAGGGGCGGGGGAAGATCGAAGGATAGACACGCCCACCTGTCATCAATCATTTTGACAGGTGCCGTAGAGTATTTACTACTTATATAAAAATATCTGTGGGGTATTTTTGTGCTAAAACTTCACACACACACTCTGGGGACATCAGAGATTTATTTTACATCTTGTGAAAATGGCATTTTACCACCCCTTTAAGAATGTTTCGATATTTGTGCTGGAAACGAGAAGAAGAACATCTCTAACCTGACGAGGGTTGTTTTTCTTCTTCTTGCAGAGACATCACCCTCAGCGTCCAGCGAGATGAAAGCGTCAGACCTTGTCATTTTGTTTCCTTCCTCCTCGTCTCCGTTTTCAGCATTCTGACTGGGAAAACATATACAAAAACATAAATGCATTTAGTCAAACACCAGTTTACAGCAGGTGAAGTAAATAAAAACCAGCACAACAGAACTGACAAACATCTCATGTTACCTTAAACAGTTCCTCTGATAATCCTTCAAGCTTTAAACATCTTCTAGAAAAATCTCATTATAGCACTTGTATCCATTTCTTGAGTTAATTTAGCCAGAATGTTTTACTAGAGGAACCCCTGCTCTATCTGTGTGCACTGCATGTACGTGACGCGTTATTTAACCTGACCCGTCTCTTCTCTTCTCGTTACACTAGAACATTCAGGCTGTGGTTTAGTGTTACTGAAATAAGAGTCTTTCAGTAAGACTCAGTCTCTTGGAGTAAAGCTCAGTTCTTGCTTCCCAATGATGAAGATGTTTCATTCAGGAACGTGTCAAGAGCTTCGCTCGTAAAATAAAGCTTCCAAAGGGGGTTTTACACAGCGATGCCAGCGATTTTTGTGTGCAGTTTTTTTACCTTTCAGCGATCAGGTTTTTAAAGAAACATTTTTTCTTATAGTGAAGAACATTTTAATAATTTAATTTAACAATCTAAACTGGGGTCCGGGGACCATAAGGGAGAGCTGTACGGGATCTGAGTAATGTAAAAAAATAATAAAAAATAAAAAATAAGAATTAAAATATAAGATATTATAAGTAAATAAATAAATTACCAGTTTAACCAAAGTACGTCAATTTACCCTTATTACTTGATAATTCTGATTATGTTCAAAAACGACGAACTTCTACCGTAGCTCTCATCTCTGAGAAACCTCAGACTGAAATATACATGAATCTATTGATGTTTTCAATCTCATCTAAAATGAGCGGAGTTGGGAGTATCGGTAACATGCATAACGTAATCAGATTATTTTTTGACGTAACGAGTAAAGTAACTTATTACAAGTAACACGTACTTTTTGACGTAACAACGTTACGTTATGCATGTTACTTGTAATAAGTTACTTTACTCGTAAAGTATTTTAAATAAAAACTAAATAACTACATAACTACATAAATAAAAACATTTAATGAAAATAAATAAATACAATAATTAAAATAAATATATTTGATTAAAATAAATAAATCAAACTTAAAATAAAATAAATAAAGATAACTAAATAAATACATTAAAATAAAAAATGTTAAAATTGAAATTTGATTGAAACGAATAAATAATAAATACATTTGATTAAAATTAAAAAATAAATAAATGAATGAAATACATCTAACTAACAACAGTACAGTACAAAATGCAATGATGCAATAAAAACGATATCCTGTTTCATAGGATTAATTGGGTCTTTATAAATTAAAATATATAGCTGCCTTTCAAATGTTCGCATGAGGATGATCATATCTTGAATCTGTGGATATAAAAGATTGAAAGCGTTGATCTAAAGACCATTTTTCCACTACAAACAATCTTTTGTGCATTTAAAAGTTTCCAAGGCTCTTCATGAAACCACCGATGCCAGTAAATACACTTTATTTGTAAGAGTGTCAGTGTGTGTTCAGAAACTGAAGGTTTGTTTTTAATCTCCGAATGATTCTTCTGTCTGTTCAGTGTTTGCCAATACAGACACAAGACAAAGTCCTTCTGCTCACATAAAGTCAACAACACTGTTCCATAATCCATGACATTTCACAATAATAGCAAATATGAACATTTAAAAATCAATTTGGATGCATAACACACAAAACGACATCATGCATCATTCATGAGCATAATATAATTTCATAACATTGTTCTGTAAAACCGGCTAAGGAGATGATCATGACCGTACCGTGGCGACACACACTCGTTCATCTGCTGGTGTGGAGGAACGGAGCACATCGGCCGACATGCATCGCTTCTGCTCCGGCCCTGAAGCAGCGAGTCGTCATGTTTCTCCATCAGGATCTGAGCTTCTGCCGGAGGAGCTTCTGACCCACAAACTGCTAATAGTTAATCAGTAATCCACTGTTTTGCTGACTAGTGCAGATCTAAAGCTGAACAAGAACACACAGTGCTGATACCATCCTACATTTGGGGGAAAAGGGACTAAACAAATGTAAAAAGCTATAAAGTCACATACCATGATATTTTAATCAATCGTTTGGAAAAGCTTTCCAACTAAAATTGGGTTAAAACATATATTAAAGGGAGAGATTTTTATGTTAATCTTGGGTAAAATGTGTCTGAGAAACATGAAATTGGTCCTTTACTGTTATTATTGTACCTAGGTATTATTACCTTGGAGTAATAACTTTCTAAAATTAAATGAGAATAAGACTCATTCTATTAGTTGGCCCTAAAGCTAAAAGAGAAAAGTCTTGGAGTTATTTTTGACTCGGATTTTAAGTTTTAACTCCCATTTTAACAAGGTGCCAAAATCTTTTCTCTTTTTTTCACCTAAGAAACATTGCGAAAAACCTTTTTAAACCAGAAAGATGCAGAAAAATGAATCCAAGCTCTTATCTCAAGTAAACTTGACTACTGTAATGCACTTTTTACTGGTCGCCCACAAAAATCAATGAATAGACTTCAGTTTATCTAAACTTCAGCAGCTCGGTTACTAACAACTAAAACAGGAGAACATATAACTTTCAGAACAGATTGTAAAGTCCTCCTCATCACATCACAAGCTCGTAATGGACAAAGACCTATAACTATACTGCCATTTCTCTCGTTAATTATATCCCATCAAGAACCGTAGGTTCATCTAATGTTGCAGGTTTATTGGAGGTTCCCAAATATATAAAGAAAATCTGTGATGCGGCATCTGCAACTTATGCACCATAACACATCAGATATTAAGGAATTAATCTTTGATATTTTAAAAGAAAGTTAAAAATGAATCTTTTTACTCTGGCATTTAATTAGTTACTCCGAATGTGAGTATGTTTTTTTTATCTCTTATGTTTGATGCATATGTTTTTATTGAATGTGATGTTGATATTTGACTATATCATTTTTTTGTAAAGCACTTTGATCTGCATTTTATGCCTGAAAAGTGCTATATAAATAAAGTTTATTATTGTTATTATATCTATATGTAAGTATGCCAAAAGTTTGAACATATCTAATCATTCTGTATTATGTCTATTTTGCTAATGCTATATATTTAGTGTAAAGTGAAAACTCTAAAATAACACAAATGGAAGTCTGGGAATGTGTGCTGAATTTGATAATAACTTTTGTTTGTTTCTTCTAAAACAAGAATTTATGTTTGCCTGTCCTATAAAACAAATTTCAATGTATTTAAGCACCCTGTAGATTAAATGGGTTTTAGTATTATGAAAAAATTAAATTCAGTCCAAACTTGTGTCTGTTGTTCTACATTATATTGTAATTTCCGTTTCTCTCCACTAAGTGTCGCGCTTTTGCAGGAAAATGTTGCTGCGTCCCAATTCACCTAATTATACTACAGTAAGAGTATATGCACTAGTTTTATGCAGAAAAAGTTGATACCTTTGAGTGTGTAGTAGCAGAAGAGTGGGACATACAACTTTGTCATTAAAATCTTTAAAGGTTGCTCTCTGTGGCTTAGTTACAAGCATCCTGTAATAATAAACTGGCATGTCAATCATCTTGTCACACTTAAAAATCCTTCATATTTCATGTAATTTAATTTCCTACCATATCAGAGAGAACTGCAGTAGCACGTTGATCTTTAATTGTCCTCATATTAATGCATTATAAAAGTTCACATTGTTGTTGCAGCTGAAATATAACATAGAAAACATTAGATTTATAATACTGAGGACAGAAGGGCTCACAACATCTAAGCAGTATTTAAATAAGCTTGTGGGAATAGGATCAAGCGGTAGATTTAATTTAAATCTACTGAATTGTCAAAACACCATTGAAACTGCTTAAGCTATGGATGTGAAAAACACAGAAAATCGAACCCAATCCGAATTTTTTATGACGGACGAAAGTTTCGGAGGCGGTGTGTAGGCGTGATTGACAAAACATGAGGTCGTATTTATTTTTTAACGTGTGAAAAATTCTCACAAGAATTTCAGACTAAGTGTGCGAGGACCTTAAAGGGATAGCTCACCTCAAGTGTAAACTCTGTCAGTAATGACTCTCCTCATGTTGTTCAACCCCGTAAGACTTTCGTTCATCTTCGGAACACAAATTAAGATTTTGTGATTAAATCTGAGAGCTGTCTCACTCCTCCATAGGCTTCTTAAGGGATTGAAACTGGCCGGCCCAGAAAGTTATTAAAGACATCGTTAAAATAGTCCGAGTGACTACAGTGGCTCAACCTTAAGATTATCAAGCGACGAGAATACTTTCTGTGCGCAAAAAACAAACAAACAAAAATAACGACTTTATTCAACTCTTCATTTCCATCTGTGGGCCTCGAGTGAGTTCTCTACAAAGTTCCATACGGACCACTAAGTAAGTTTATTCACATAATGTTCTTTCCCTTAAAATATAAGCGAGTGTAAATGTCAGCATTATCATATACATCTAAAAATGTAAGTCTGTCAGGTTAAAGAAGAGCTAATTGATGCAGTTCAGTCAGTCTGCTATTTTATTCCAACCGTTACTCCTGATCGGAGGCTTCCGTAAATATTTTGTTTAGAGTTGTGCTTCAACTAAGTTTAATGCTGCAACACAAAAATATTTAGTAGTGCGTAAGTTGTAAATTAGTTCTCATTTGCGTCAAAACTAGGCTGAGCTGTAGCTTGTGCCCCAGCCTCCGGTATTACAGGAATACCCTATACTTTTAGCACAGGTTCTCCGAGATTTTTGGTTTCAGTGGGCGGAGCTTACATTAATATTCATGAGTTTCCCGGGCATGAGCGTGGAACTGAGAATTTAAGTTTAGGCAGAAATTGTATTTTTGGCGTAGGCAGAAATTGTATTTTGGGCGGGCCAGTGAAAAAGTGAGTGGGCCTATTGTTTTTCCTAGAAAAAAATGACTTAAATAATAATTAAACCTTAGAGAATAGAAAAATTAATAGACAAACTGCAAAAACAGTTACACCAGGGGCGTAGCCAGTAATGGGCCAGGGCGGCACTGGCCCGCCCACATCTCTTTGGCCTAGCATACACATAACACACTATAGACTTCCTTAATTCAAAATTAGGCTGCATAGTTTAGATCAGCCGGAACCGGGAACACGTCCTGTAAATCCTGATGGTACATCATAAGAAGGATGGCGTCTACACTAATATTAGTCTCTCTGTTTGTCCCGAGGGGCCCTCTATACATTTTTAGTTTATTTTTATTATTCAAATGTATTTAAGAAACTCTATTAGTATAAACCTGATTTATTGTTGACTGGTGTGTGTGTGTTTAATTTGTTTTCCGAATAAAATGGAACTGTTGAAGTTGTAGAAAGCCTCTCTCCGGAACGTTATTGGTTGCTATGGTTGCTGGTTGCTACTCTCGGCGGCGCCGGCGCCACAATAATGGCTAAACAACTTTCTTTAATGTGCTATTTGAAAAAAGCAAGAGTTGAGTAAGAAGACACGCCACTGCCTTCATCTACCGAGTCCACCCAGCCCAGTTCTTCAGACTCATTAACCCACAAAAGAAGGCCAGTCAGGTGCTGGTGGCGGCCGCTTCTCGCTCCCTCTCTCCGGTCAGCCTGACGCGGGTTTACCCGCCGATCTAACTGCGATATTATTATTTTAGCTTACTTGGGTAAACTGTCTTTGCACTGCTGACTAGCCTGAATAAAATAGACAGGTTATTGTCTATACTGGTTTGTCCAGCTTTAATTGAGCTCTGTTGGTTGAACATGATGATTAGCAGAATATTGGAAAATAAAGGTGTAACTGTTTTTGCAGTTTGTCTATTAATTTTTCTATTCTCTAAGGTTTAATTATTGTTTAAGTCATTTTTTCTTCCAGGAAAAACTATAGGCACACTCACTTTTTCACTGGCTCGCCCAAAATACAATCTCTGCCAAAGCCACTGAGTTACACCTTAATTTTGATATATTCCGCAAATCATCATATTCAACCAATGTATTTTTTTCAAACTTGCCTGGGCGAGACCGTGAGTAATGTGGGCAGGACAGTGCCGCCCTGGCCCATTACTGGCTACGCCCCTGGTTCAGATCCTTGTTTCTCAGCAGGTTTAATTGTAAATATACGTAAGTAATGGTAAAAGGTAAATATATTTCAGCCCGAACAGAACTTATGCCTAAACTACAAGTGTTTATCAGTTTATATTGTTTAGTTTGCACGTTTTGTGCAGTCGTACCTGGCTGAATGATTGCAGGTATTCGCTTCGTGTAATGTTAGAAGCACAGCAATTCTCTGGTTGTGAACTGTCTGGTTGTAAAAGTCATACAATAAAGACCACAAAGTTATCATCACAAGGTTGGATTGATAGACCACACCCCAATACACAGGGCAAGTCAGAAACTGAATTTAACTTTAAAAAGCCACAGGTGTGAGAGCAGAGAGTCAGTTATACTCGTCCTCGCATCTGAGCACAATGTTCACGTACACAGTCTCTGTCTCCACTGGTAAACAGGAGTTTGCTGGGACAATTGATCATGTTTACCTGACGCTGACGGGCACGGAGAGATGCAGTGACCGGACTCTGCTGGACAATTCCTTCTTTCAACGTTTTGCGAGAGGAACGGTACTAAAGTTTTTTTTTCTTAACTCGCTTATGTTATTAAATATAACACATAAAAAAAAGTTGATTATCACTTATCAGATCATTAAATCCTTTTTTTGTGTTTCCTCACAAAAAGTGAGAAATCCCTATGACTGTTTAAAGTTTCTCCAAACTGCATTTCTGTAACTCTACTTTTCCCTACCAAAGCTTCCACATATTTCTTCACTAGTTTAGTTTATTCACAGCAATATAAAGCCCTCTGACAGATAATCTAATTTAAAATATGTTTGAAAATGTTGGAAATTTTCTTTTTCTCTTGTGAGTCAGAAATGCAAGGGGGAAAAGTCAGAATTAGAT